CTCTCAACAATCATCACATTATTTCGAAACAAAGAATCTATACCGAAACCCGATATAGAACTTGTATTGAAGCACATAATCTGACCGGAAAGTTAGCCTTCATAGCCAAACTCCTAACGTGACTGCGTGAGGGTTTGTTTGGGATACATTTATCCCGGACCTAGTACCATAGATTTGTCAATCCAGTGGTTTAAGTAAAATACATACAAGTACTTACCATGACTCTATGTTATACAATTATAACTAAACCAAACAAGTGTTATACTGAACTGAATGTATACTACATCGAACATGCTGTCATACTGTCATTACTGTTGAGCCATGCTATCTAACAGTTCCTCTTAAACAGAATGTATGCTAGTTTATACAGAATATTTGCAGTTTACAGTAAAACACAGGCCCAACTAACATTCGAACTATCTTTTACACCAATGCTATAACATAAACTGGTGTTCCTTTCTTTATTTCTGCTTCAACTTCAAACTTTCAACAAATACATGGTTCAAAGGTTGTGTACCTGGGAATATTTGCAATTGAAGAAGAGGCCAATCAGTAGAGTAGTAATGAACAAATACAGCAGCAGCAATAGCACTAACAGTAGCAGCATGGCAGTGTAGCAAAGCACCAAGAAACAGAAGAGCAGCAACCACAACTCACAAAACAAATGGAGTGAGATCAACCCCAACTAAACCAAACTATTGAGTAGAACAAACAACAAACAAAGCAGACTCAGTTGTGAGAAAATCAGTGTTTGCACAGAAAAGGTCCAGATTTAGTGAAGTCAGAAACAAAAGAAAGGAAGCAACTTCTGATTTTGTATGTCTGAGTTATCAGACAAAAATTCTTTTCCAGTTTTTTTTTTTGTTTCCAAAAAAAATTGAACTCTCAGGTGTTCCCTCTTAGTATCTCTTTGTATGTCTTTCCAGCTCTCTCTTTCAAACTCTTCACTGTGTGTGTATATTCTTTCAGCTCCTAAGGTTCGATGTCTCTCCTGTTTTTCTAATTCTGTATCTCTCCCTTTATAAGCCTCAGAACTATCTCTTTTAAAAGCCTGTTTTCAGAATATCACAGTACCTCTCCCATGTGCCTTCCATTTCAATTCCAACTTTAGCTAATTAAGTATTAAACCCCATCAACATTCCCTGACAGATTTCACTTTTAAAAGGTTTAAATACTTCTTTAAACTAAAGCCAGGCATG